CACCCTCTTATTTCTAATTCCGAACCAAAAATATTACTAGCCGCTGTAATTACTGCTTTTTCGAAATCGACATGCAGAAACCTGGGGTCAGGAAACAAATTTTTCTCTTCGCATTTTTCAATAATTATTTTAAACATTGTTTCATAAATTGAAGTTGTCTTACGCTCTAAAAAAACAATATACCGCAGTAATAAAAAAATCATTTTTTGGGACTCTTATAACGTATAATTGCATAAAATACTCAGGACTGAGATTAAAATTTCTGTCACAATACCAAGTATTTGCCTCTGCTAAAATACGAAGTCCTTCATCCACAGCGAAAATGATAACTCTTTCGTGGTTTAAATCCATGTTGTCGAATAATAAAAGTGGTTTTTCTTCATATAATGACCAATCGCCTAAAATACAAATTAAATAATATCATTAATATTTCAAATGACTAATAAAACAACTACATAAAAAAATATGTATTACTTGATACATTTTAAATGTTAACGTAATATCGCTTTAATAATAGAAAAAACAAATTAAGAATTATAAAATAAAAAATGAAAATGATAAAATATATAATTTTATTATAAAAACGTTGGTTTTTCGACAACTTGAAAAAACTATGTAACTATGTAAAAAAATATTTTCAAAAACATTAATTTTTGAAATAATGAGTGTTCAATGATAAAAGAATCACCCGGTATAGTAAAAAACGAATATTTCAAATGACTATAAATAGTTTAAAATAAGTGAAATATTTACCTTCAATTTTCAGATCTTCCAAGCAAGTAGGTTTAGGAGGATTTAAATTGCTACGTTGCTTTTGAATAACACGCTTAACAGAATTTTCATTAGGTATATTCATTAAAAGTTCGTCCAGAAGACCACTAACCGCCTCGGCAAAAATCTGACTTGGTTTATCGCTAGATATTTTAGCACGATTTTTTATTTTGTGTTTAAATTTTTCTACTTCCAATGTGGTGTGATTGCCAGCATGATTATGTTCTATAGGTATCTAATTTTGCTTTAGAAATGTCTTTCGCTGTACATAATACTGCAGGACACTTGTATTTATTCTTCAAGCTACATTTCCATCGTATACTCTTGGTCAATTTATGTTGAATCGTATACGAGAATCCAACGTACACTATTTTATTTATAGTATCACCTTTCGTTTTAAATTTAAATATTTCACTCATTTTCACAAGATTTGGATTTAAAGACACTAATAAAAACGTTTACGATACAAAACATCGACTGAACATTTGGTAAAATAACCAGGTTAAGTAAAGATAATTTGTAATAAATTTGTTATATATTATCTATAACGAATCCACGAACAAAAGTCCGGCGAACAAAAGTCCGGTTAGGTTAGTTCGATGTTGATACGGGCAAAGTTCCCAACACATTTAATAAATAAGAAGTTGACGGAAAAAAATCTAGATTGCACTGGGACAACGAGTTAAAAACATTTGATGGTCTATCTTCCTCCAAAATCTTGGTCCATT